GGGAGGGGGTGAGTCATGGGGCAGATATAAACAGCTAGTGTCACAGGAGGGGAGCATGAAATAGCTGGAGCAGGTTAAGTGGCTTCATCTGTCAGCATCCAGGGACGGTAACAGCGTACACACAGTGAAGTGCAGAGGCAGCAGGGGTAATAAGAGGCTGACTACAGCCTCATGGCTCCTCAGCTGCTCTCCCTCCCAGAATGTCCACCAGGTGCCTGTGGAGGGAATACAGAGGAGTCACATTCTGGGATGCCACTGTGGAGAAAGGCCCTGACACTGGAAAGGTAGACCAGCCCACAGTCAGGAGGTTCTAAACCTTGCTTCAGCCCCAGCACGGGTGCCAAAAAGCAAAAAGGACAACACTTAAAGAGTAACTAACTTGTGAGTCAAAACGAAGTAAAAACACACGAATTTGGAAAGTAAAATTTGTTTTAATTTATACAAATAAAGGAAATGCTCTACTTAAATAATAATTCATCTGGGTCTTCTTGTACAATACAAAATTCTTCCATGGGAGTCTGCTGATTATGAGGCCAGCAACTCTTCTCACACGTGTAAATTAGAATTGTTCCAAATTCCACAGAAATACCTGAAAAATATAACATATTCAGGATTCCAGAAAGTATTATGAGACATATTCAATATTTGAGTCTGCTTAGTGGATAGAGCCCAGACTCTGGAGCAAGACTGCTTGCGTTCATATTCCAGCCCTACCACCATGAGCAAAAGATTTCGCCTCTCTGTAATAATGACTGTATTCATCGTGATGACAGACTGTTGTGAGAGGGATTAAATAAACCAGTCCATGTAAGACACTTAGAACAGAGCCTGGCATATCTTATGTGTTCCCTGTGAAATGAACAGGTTAAGCAGTTAGACAATAACAGAAGAGAAGGAGAAAGATGGCTTACTATCAGGATAACTGATATTGCTACAAGGAGTGATTTTACCTTACAAGCTGAAAAAATAATTATGTAAAGCAAAAACAGTGCTCACTAGCTTTCGGTTACACTCTGCAACAGTAAGTGACCACTGATGATGAAAAGCTGATTTAACAGGAAAACATATTTTACAACTGTCTAGACTGACACTGAAAATCATTAACAAATATGTCACACTAACAGAACATACTACCTCTAAGAAAGGATTAAGGCAAAAAAACAAAAACAAACAGAAAATAAATACTAAGAGTTATAGAAATTTATCAATGATGACACCATGAAGAATAATGTCAAAAAAACATGAGCAACAACTCCTGCTGATATCAGAACAGGAAGACAGAACAACAAGATGAGGTGAGTAAATGCTGTGGAGAAACAAAGGAAAAATATTTTTTAAAAAATGTAGGCAGGGATAATGGACAGAAAATCAAACAGAACGACAACAACAAAAAACCAAAATAGAGGTGATTTAGGAGAAATAACCTGGTGAACTTGATATAATTTCTAATAAGAATATGCACAGGCAGTTGGCAGAGGACAGAAGGCTGGAGCCTCAGA